AATCATTTACAAAAATACCGTTATCTTTTTTTAAATTTCAGGGGCCCCCTACAAATCCGTCATTGAATTAGATGTTGCCCATTGCACAGAAGAGAAGTACTGGCAGCAGAAATCAAGAGTTCTTTGGCTCAAGGAAGGTGACCGCAATACTAAATTTTTCCATGCTATGATAGTGCACAGAAGAAAGAACAATGCCATCACTAGACTGATGGGGGTAGAAGGGTTTTTTAATCTACTAAGGCCATTGAAGTTCATGTTGTCAATTTCTATAAAGATCTTTTCAGAACGGAAGGATATGAGGAGGAAGAAGAAGCTCTTTGCAACATTAGACAAGTAATTGCTCTTGCCATGAATGAAGAGCTAACCAATGCTGTGGAGGAAGATGAGATTAAACAGGCACTCTTCCAAATAAATCATTTAAAGGCACCTAGTAAGGATGGAATGACAACACTTTTCTATTAACATTTCTGGCCAGTGATCAAGGAAGACATTTGTGCAGCTGTGGTCAGTTTCTTTGACTCAGGACAAATGCTAAGGTACTAGAACCAAACCTTAGTTGCTCTTATCCCAACATGCCCTAAACCATTTTCCTTAAGTCAATACAGACCTATTAGTTTGTGTGGGGTGGTGTACAAACTGATTTCAAAAATTCTGGCTTCTAAGTTAAAAAATTGTCTTGATTTGTGTGTGAGTCAAGTTCATGCTGCCTTCATTCCTATAATGAAGCTTCTTGATAATGTTATAATAACTCAGGAAGTTTTCCATTATTTGAATAGACATAGGTCTGGTCATCATTGTTCCATGGCTTTAAAATTAGACATGCTCAAAGCCTATGACAGAGTGAAGTGGGTTTGCGTTAGGAAAACAATGGAGAGGCTGGGGTTCGCTTCTAATTTCATAAAACGGGTGATGGCTTACATTACTACTTTTTTCTTTTCCACCTCGGTGAATGACAAGGTTGTGGGTTCGATTTCGCCTTCAAGAGGATTGAGGCAAGGTGATTCAATATCACCTTACCTTTTCGTTATTGCATCAGAAATCTTTTTTTCTCTTATTAAGAATGCAGAGGACAGAGCTCAGTTCAGGAGTTTGAAAATTGCTAGAGAAGGTCCAACCATCACCCATCTATTGTTTCAAGACGACTCATTAGTGTTTTGCAAAGCAGAACGAGACCAAGCTATGATGTTACTTCAAATTCTGAACACGTACCAACAATTTTCAGGCCAGAAGGTAAACCTTGCAAATTCCACAGTCTTTTTTCAGCAAGAACACTCCATTGCATTTGTAGCAGACTTTGTGTTTAATTCTCGAGACAATTCAACCAGGTACCTAAGACTCCTTTTAGGGATAGGGCATTTCAAAAAAGAAGCTTTCGACTACATCCTACAATCAGTAAGAAAGAGGCTGGTTAGCTGGCAAAATACTTGCCTCTCCACAATAGGGAAAGAAGTGTTGATTAGGGCTGTTATTAATGCCCTTCCTGTCTTTGCAATGTCATGCTTTAAGTTGCCAATTAGTTTGTGTGTTTAATTGAGCAGGATCACCTCTTCTTTCTGGTGGAGCAAGGGAGCCAAGCGAGGCAAAGGTATACATTGGAAACAATGGAGTTGGTTAACACTGCCTAAAGCAAATGGGGGACTGGGATTTCAAGACTATAAGTTGTTCAATGAAGTATTGATGTTAAAGCTACTTTGGAGGATTACTACACAACCTGAGCTGATGGTCAGTAGAATACTCAAGGCAAGGTACCTTATGGAGCAAAAAATTCTGGGGCTAGACACAACAGAAGGTAGCAACTCAGGATTGATTGATAAGAAAATAGAAATATAAGCTGGAAGCTGAGAGTAAAGGGAAAGGTGAAACACTTCATTTGGAAGTGTTTTAATGGAATATTACCTGTCAGTGTGAATGTGATTAAGAAGGGAGTCCAAGTAAATGTGATATGTAAAATGTATGGTGAACAGGAGGAAATAGTCGAGCACCTATTTTTCAAGTGTAGAAGAGCGCGGATGGCTTGGAAACTTGCACCTATGGATTGGGATGGAGCACAGTGCAATGATACCTCTTTTAATTAGGTAATGGTGGTGGCAGGTATGTTCAACTGAGACTTCAATTATTTCTAAGGACCGCATACAACCAACAACATACATCCTATGGTGGCTATGGTGATCCCATAATCTCTGGTTATTTGAAAATGCTTGGGTGCCAGAAGATGTGCTGATCCGAGGAGCATGGAGGGAGTGGCAGGAATTGCAACCATCAAACCTTCATCGGCTTGAGTCAGGGTGATGTTTCANTGTGTCTCAATTTTGTGTTATAGTTTGGATTTGTGGTGGTTTGATGGCTTTAAGGTCTCGGGGGTGTGTCCCTGCTTAAGTCAGTTAGTTCGGTTTGTGATTTAGACCACTCTTTGAGTGGTTCTTTCATTGTGTTGTTTTTTTCAGTTGTTTTTCTAGCATGTATTGAACATTGTTCCGTTTTTCCTCTTTTATTGGAGTTTCTCTATCGCTTGGAAAAAAATTAGTACTAGGAAAATTAATTCAGGTTAACTTTTTTTGTCTAGCTAAAGAGCACCTACGCTTGAAAGAATGAATTAGTGTTATGTTGGAATTAGTGTGATGTAAGAATAACTCATATATCTACTTTATCTATACTATATACTATTATCAAAGGAGGAGTGGCTTTGTGAAAATTTATGTGGACGATAAAGTTCTTATATTTATTAAATATTTAATAAGAAAATTGTAATTGCAATTATTTAAAGAAAAAATTAATAATTTTTTTCACTTATTGTAGGATCTAATTTTATAAGCCACGATAACATCATGAACACGTTCCTCTTTAGTTTCTTTTAATATCGGACACATTAAATACTTTTTCGATTTTTATTTTAAAGTTTTAACAATCAACTAAACTAAGTTCTTGGTGCTAATGAATGAACAAAGTTTCAGGCTTGTTAGGCTTTTACTGCAGTTTCTGGCCTGGAGCTCTGGATCGGGATTCAATTTGTGCAGTGGTGGCTCTTGGCAGTTGGTTGCATGGCGGCCTGCGGTACAGGAGGGCTTCAATTTAGTTGTTTCTTTTTTAGGTTTGTCTAGTGTTTGTTTTGTTTTGGTCTTTGTGGGTTTGTGGTTGTCTATGTTTTGTGGGTTGCTATTTTAGATTTTTTTCTATTTGGGAGTGTGTTTAACTCCCTTTCGGGAAGCATATATTCTCTACTTGTGGGAGTTTTGTTTTTCTACACTTGTGGGGAGTATTTTTATTCTTTTCTGTTTAGTTTTTGTAGTGTGTGTTGTGGTATCATAGCTACCTTGTTTAGTTCTCTTATTCCGCCTAGTTAGCCGGTTGTAATTATGTGTTTTTGTCAATAAATCTTTGGTTGCTAAAAAAAGAAAAACAAATCCAACAAATAACTTATTAACTTGTTTATGGTACTTTTATTTTTTAATTGAGTTCGTATTTTTTTAATTGTATGGTAAAATAATTTTTCTTTTGATTTGAGTCATAGGTTTTTTTTAATTAATTTTTCACAACTAAAACAATAACGAAAATTAATTATAAATAATACGTAATAAATAAATAAAAATAAAATAAATATTTTAAGTTGAGTTGGGTTGGAGATAATAAAGATATATATAAATTGGATTGTAAAGTTGAGTGGTGTAGATGGAGGAAAGAGAAATGTTTTTTTATTATCAGATTGTGTTGGGTTGAGTTCCGAGCAAAGGTGGTCATGGTTGACCCGGACCCGTGAACGGGTCCGGATCTACAGGTCTTGGAACCAGACTCGTGGTAAAATCGTGCCAGTTTCGAGTCTTAGTTTTTTCTTTTTTTACCCGTTGATTTCGGGTCGAGAGACAAGTTCGAGTTATTTTTATTTTATTTTATTAAAAAACGACAGTTCAATGAACCATCAGGTCAGGTCAGTTCAATGCAGCCGAGTCCAGTTCTAGGCCCAGCTTTTGAGGCCCGGCGACCCGCCTTTTGGACACCGAATAAACTTGGTCTAAAGCAATCGCGGATCAAGCGACTACTGTCGTGAAGCTAATATAGACCGGGTTTTATCTCACCCTACTTCATGTGTTTGAGTTTCGGTTCTGCTGATAAATATTATCTTATTCACAGTGAAAGATTGCGAGCAGAAGTAATTGCAGAGAGGGCCTGAACCTCTCCCTGCCTAATTATCTCTCAATCGAGCTGCTTCAGGTGCCAACTTCTTGTTCTGCAATTTTATTTCAGATCTAAGCAGCTCATATATTGGTTTCGTTCTACCTGGCCCTAATTATTATTATTATTATTTTTTAATTTGGCTGTAATTTTTTTTTCTGCTCATACATGTGCAAAAAGTGTAGCTTTGATGCGTACATTAAGCAGTGTGAGTAACTGTCAATTTTTTGCCGTTGTTTCAGGACTCCGAGTTTCATTGCTTTGCACAATGCTACATGGATAAGTTTTTTTATATAGGCTTTCCAGTTGAAATCTTTAAATTGGGTTGATAAAATGTCATCTGGGTTGTTTTCAAACATTAATGTTGCATCTGGTCTCGGCTTCCGGAAGGTTCTGAGAGTTAATCAATCTCAACATCTCCATTTGATACAATCACTTTCACCCAGAAACAGTTTTAGTGCTTTTGTATCTGGCCCTACTGTTCAAGCGTTAAATTATTCGAGCAAACTAAGAAATAAAAATATCATGGCTGCTCCTGGTGCAGTAGTTGCTTCGGGTGGTGGTAATTTATCGGATTTTGTGAAACTCGGTGGTGTTTGGTTTGGCAATAAGGGTCCTAAGATGTTTGGGAGAGTTAGAGTGAGCTTGAGAGGTGTACAGAGTGAAAAACGGCATGCTTTTGTTCGATGTAATATGTTTGATTTTGAGCCCAGATGTCCCATCTCTGGTTCTCTGTTTTCTAGTGGGATGAGTAAAGGCCTGACTTTCTCATCTTCGTGTTACACTGATGGGCTTATGCCTGAAGTGTCGAGTGACGGAGCTTTGAGTGCGGAGCAGCTATCAAGTCTCGCACTTTCAGTGGAGGAGTAAGTGACTTTCGTAGTTCTTGATTTGTATATATCCAATGCATTTTTGATCAAACTTTAAGAATGTTGGTAGTAATTTTGTCTCTTCGGTTGTTTCTTTAGAGCTAATTGTGTCATTGACATGAGCATGCACTAGGAGTTGTGCATTAGTTTGTTGTAACTTGTAAGATTCTGAACTGTTCTGATATTGACCTATTTGTGTGATTTGAAGATGGAAAAATAAAAGCTTATTAAAGTGATACTATTTTTAAGTAATTGGTCACCTTTTATAGCCTAGGCCCAAGGTTGTGAGTTGTGACCCAAACATGAAGCCTCGGTAAAAGATTTGCACAGATATCATTTAACTGTTTCTAAAACTTGAGTGGTTATAGCAATTGAAATTCATGCGATGGTCACACTATGTGGCACATGTTTTTTTTTTATTTTATTTTATTTTATTTTTTTCCTTTATGTAACTCTACTACAGATACTGTCATACTGATAAAGCTCCATTATTTATTCTTAAATTTTGATTTTTGTAGGACGAGGCTGGATGATAGAAGTTTGAAGCTGCTATCTGGGGCATGTTACATGCCCCATCCAGATAAAGAAAAAACAGGAGGAGAGGATGCTCATTTTATATGTGGCGACGAGCAAGTAATTGGGGTTGCCGATGGAGTTGGTGGTTGGGCTGAAGTTGGTGTTAACTCGGGGGATTATGCTCGCCAGCTCATGTCTAATTCGGTTGAAGCCATTAGAAAGGTGCCAGGTGGCGATGTTGACCCCCTGCGTGTCTTGGAAGAGGCTCATGCGACTACTAATTTGATGGGTTCTTCAACAGCCTGCATTATTGCCTTGAAAAAACAGGTTTGCTTTTAAGTTCCTTAATTGCAGACAGAAGGCTCATAGTGGTGAAATATTATATGTAGGTCCTTCCTTTGAGTTAATTTTGTGAGAATTTATTATCTTGTGAAAATATTATATATACCGACTTTTGTTACCATTGAGAACTGAAAGACAGATTCTCACCGTCAGAGTGAATTTTCCACATTATTTCATTCGTTTATTTTCATTTTTTTCCATTTCTGAATAAAGTACTTACTTCTGGGTGGTTCCATTTGTAGATTCAGTCTTTCTGAATGTTGTACTTAGCATCTATGACTTCTCTGTTGGTTTCATAATTGCTTTTACCAGAATATCCGCATTTTTTAACAGGATCTTCATGCCATCAACCTCGGAGATAGTGGGTTTATTGTAATCAGAGACGGACAAACAGTATTTGAATCGCCTGTACAAGTGCATGGTTTCAATTGCCCTTATCAACTTGATCGAGGCAAGAGTGGTGATCTGCCAAGTTCTGGACAGGTTAGGTCCCGAGGCATTTTAACCCTTTTAGTCTTTGATTTAGTATAATGGGTACTTTTGGAAAAATGCTTTAAAACTCGTATGTTATCGTCATCTTTCAGGTTCTTAAGGCATTTTAACCCTTTAGTCTTTGATTTAGTATAAATGGGTACTTTTGGAAAAATGCTTTAAAATTCGTATGTTATCGTCATCTTTCAGGTTTTTAAGGTTCCAGTTGAAGCTGGAGATGTGATTGTTGCTGGTAGTGATGGGTTGTTCGACAATGTGTATAGTAAAGAGATAGCAAGTATTGTGGCTGATGCCATGAAAGAAGGTATGAGCCCTGAAGCCACAGCCCGAAAGATTGCTGAATTTGCACGTGTGCAGGCTCTGAACAGGATATGTCGGACTCCTTTTTCTGTTGCTGCTGAAAAGGCCGGGTACATGTACTTTGGCGGTAAACTTGATGACTTGACTGTTGTCGTCTCATATGTTTCTGGCTATTCAACATACTGATTTTTTATTTTATTTTATTTTTTGGGTAGCTTTAAAAATTGTTTTACTCTGGGTAGCTTTACCTTTGAATTGTATGTCTGGCGAATGTCTTTGATTAGCGATTTCATAACTTATCATCTCTTTTACATTTTTTGGAATCTACATTATATTTATCACATATTAGATGTTCTTCGAGATGTCACAGACGGATGATCCTATGAGTTCCCAAACTATTCATGTGACTTGAGCGTTCAGAAAAATTCCCAAACTAGACTTGATGATCATTCAAAAACTTGGGACAAGTTTTACTTCACAAGCACATTCGATCATGAACCTGCAAAGAGTGATAAAGTTCATGGGGGCTATGGTTACCCTGCAAATGTCTTTGGCTTCGCCAATCGAATTTGAGAGCTTTGATTGGGTATATGCGAAAAATTGCAGTGAAGCTATAAAATCACGAAGTTTTTATGCTCAGGTATGCTTGGGTTGAATTACATATGTGTAAGTATCCTGCTGTAAACGTTAATGGATAGGGATGGAAAACCAATGTATTCTGTTCCAATACAAAATGCGAAAAGGAAGGAAAGACAAAAGGAAGAGTTTTGCAGCGGAGTCTACTCCCAGTTAGAAACACGAAATCTGTTCCAAAATGTTTATTACAAAAAAGTCATAAAAGGGGGGGAAGCTTTATTTAGAAAACATGGATGAGAAGCAAACACATGACGAGCTCAAGACAGGAAGATGCAAACCAAAGAGAAGAGTTTAAACAGTGAGCCTCCTCTTGAGATTTTCAGCCTTATATTCAGTCTCACCACCACCACCACCCCATTCTCTCTCCTCCTCCTGCCGCTTAGCTTCCTCTTCCTCCCTCCTTGCTGCCTCTTCCTCCTCACTCCTCCCTGCCTCTTTTTCTTCTTCTTCTTGCCGCCTTTCTCTCTCTTCTTCCTCTCTTCTACCTCTCTCCTCTTGCTCTCTCTGCCTCTCTCTCTCTTCTTCCTCTCTCCTTGCTGCCTCTTCCTCCTCTTCTCTTTGCTTCTCTCTCTCCTCTTCCTCCCTCTTCCTCTCTCTCTCTTCTTCCTCTCTCCTTGCTGCCTCTTCCTCCTCTTCTCTTTGCTTCTCTCTCTCCTCTTCCTCTCTCT